AGAATATGAGATTGAGCGCGTTCTCACTCATCGGCGCCGCGGCGGCAAGACCCTCGAGTTCCTGATACACTGGAAGGGATACGACCCCACTGAGGACAGTTGGGTTGCAGAAGCTGATATGGGCAACGCACGCCGTGCTCTCAAGGACTATCTTGTCAAGCAGGGTGTATCTCACGCCACCCAGCTTTGAGGGGGGGACGTGTGAGAGTACGACGGCTTATGCCAGCTATGCTTGCTTGCCTTTACTCTATTATGCTATTTCTAGCATAGGATAATTGTATGCATGCATGAATTGCTTGATTTCCTAGGCTAGGTGCTTTCCTATATTTTATTATAGTTATAGCACCGAGCTAGGTTGCGTGCACCGAATTCTGGCTTTTCGGTTGCCACCGAATTGCCTTCTACCGAATTCGGGAAGGATCTGTTCGGGACGCTTCGCGACCCGCGGAACCTTCGCGTAACACCTGGTTACGGGGCCTTGTGTCGAGCCTATATATAGCCTCGTGTTGTACCCAAGTGATCATTCAATTCACATTCTCTTTTCTGAGCTCGATCCTAGATCCTCACAGCGCCGTTGGATTGCCATATCTTCAATTTCTCCCCAGATTACCGCTGCGCGTGCGCCAACCATAGGCAGAATGCCTCGTATGCTCTGCTGCGTGCCTCCACGTTCACTACCCACACGTAGCGTGCCCCGGCGTCGATGAAGGTGGGCGTGTATAACTCGTCGTCGATGCCGCAGTGCCCTACGTTGAGGAAGTCGCTGTAGACTTTCTCCAGTTTGGCATAGCGATTGGTGCCTGGGTCGAGCAGGGGGAACGGTCGGTGGCTCAGTGCTGCTTCGAGGCAGACGGTGCAATTGCGCGGGTGTGTTTCGCCTCGTACTCCGGTGCCGTCAGGGCGCAGGATTGCTCCAGGTGCGAATACGCCGGCCTCGATGCAGTTCTTCAGGGTCACGCGTGAGGGGTGACCCAGGCGTTGGTGCCCAATGGCGTCGTCAGCGCGGAATTCGGAGGTGCGCATGTAGCGCGCGAGTGCTTTTGCGGGATCCTCTTCAGGGACTCGAGCAAATGCCGCCGCTACTTCCACATCTTCTTCTTCGTTCGAGGTCGTCAGCATCTGGGCGAGAAATTCCCTGTCGCAAATGATGGAGTAGGGGATGTTGGTCCTAGGGATCGTGCCAAGAACGAAATGTCGGTTCGCGCGGCTCGGGATCAGGTCTGTAGACAATGCGTCGTGGAGTGGAAGGTTCGTTGCCCCCATCGATGGTGTCCCAAGGGTCGCGCTCTAGCTGGAGATCAGGTGGAGGTTAGGTAGGTGTAGCATGGCGCGGTGGGCGACCAAGAGGAACAATTGCAGGTGCCGCTGCTTCTTCTGCTTCTTCTTCTTCCCCCCTTTGTTCCTCGCGGGAGGCCCCCCAACCTTCGCCAGAGGTGCCCCAGCCGCCCGTGTTGCCGCCAGTGACGGCGCCCCAGCCGCTTGTAGCTGCGCCCCATCCACCTGTGTCGCTTGTTCCTCATCCGCCGGCGCTCCCCCACCCCCCTTCATTGGAGGCGCTTTCTTCTTCGTTCCCCCAGGCGAGTGTTCTGCGTGCTTCGACGAGACTCTGCAGGCGAAGCTCCTCAGCTTCGCGTCGCGCCAGCGCCTCTTCCTGCGCCACCGAGAGGTTCTTCTGTGGATCGCGCCGGTGAGAGTATATCTCTGCTGCCTTTTCCTCGGTGTAGGGCCGTGGTGTGCCGTGTGCGTCGAAGGTGCCGACACCGACGCCGCAAAGCATGCATTGGAGGTGCTGAGATGCGGGTCCGGGGAGGGGGTGTTCCGGTGTGCCAAAGACAACCCTCGTAGCGGTTTCTAGTTCCAGTTGGGATAGTCCCTCCTCGGGTGGTGCTTCCCGCTCTGCTTCTGCTATGGCCGCGAGTCCTCGGCCAGCGATCGCGCTTGTTGAGGACGTGGGTGTGTGGCAGTCCCTGCAGACGCCGTCGGGGTCAGGATCGTGCAGCGCCAGCTCACGCGGATGTGGGTGATGTGGCACCCATGGGCGTCCAACGGGGTGCTTCCAGTCCTGGCGATGGATGTGCTCAAAGCGCAAGGGGACAAGGTCAATCAGCTCCTGCGAATCGCCGCTGCAGTCGGGAATATCGAAGTCGAAAACGTATACTCCGTTCTCGGCGTGTGCTCATCCGATCTGCTTGCGCATCTTGTTCGGCATCGTAAAGTGGAGCAGGATGTCACGTGTCTCGGGGTCGGTGCTGAGGATGACTCCGCAATCCATGAGCTGTGCCGCCGAGAGCAGGTTGAATTGCAGTGTCTGCACAATCAATACGTTATTTAGGGTGATGTGCGTTCTGCTCCCACGTGCCTTGAGCACGACGATGCCTTGCGCGCTTGCGCGCAGCCGCATGTTGTTCGCCACGGTGACGTATGTGAAGGCGGGGGTGGCGACGGCGTTGGATATGTAACGCTCAGAGCCCACCATGTGCTGCCCACAGCAGCTATCCGGGTACCACGTGTTGTAGCGCATGTTGTCGTTACGCGCGAGCAGCGCCAGTCGCGGGGTAACGATGTGCGGAGTGTCAACTTTCAGGAACTGTTCGCGCGCGATCCAATCGATCGGTGCCGGTCGCATGTCAAGTACGTGCGGGGGGCTCTCAAGCAGCGGGACTGGGAGGTTCCAGTCTTGTTTGTCGTCGTCGCTGAAGTCGTGACGCGTACTGAACGGGTTGTTGTTCGAGAACGCTCCGATTGGGTCACGCGCCGGCTCAGGTGACGGTAAACGCGCGCGCGGGCGACGTGATCCGCTTGTCATTGTCATGTGTCCCATGACATTGCGGACGGGGGCAGTCTGTGACGGCTGCTGCTGCTGGTGCTGAACCGTTGGGTTCAGGTTGCGCGATGGGGGTTGATACCCCTGGGCGGGACGCGGATCGTTCCGTGCGTCTTATCAGCCGGACCAGGTGCTCCGATTGGTCTTGCGAGGGCGAGATCGGGACTTGCATCGATCTGCCAGATGCCCGAAATTTCTGCAAATCTTGCAGTAAAGGCGTCGCGGCCGTCGCTCTTCTGTGTTGTCGGCGTAGAAGGCGAGGCGTTCCTTGTCTCGTCGCGGCGCTGGTCGCTGCTGGTCCAAATCCCTTTGTTCGACGAGAAGGGCGGCGCAAAGGGCGGCCTCCGAGATGACCCCCTGCTGTCGGAGAAGCGCCTTGCAGTGCCGCTACTCTGGGCCGAGCCCTTGAAGCACAATGTTCACGAATATCTCCTCAGAGATTGTGCTCCCTTGTTTCGCGATTTGATCGCGTAAGCTCCGGCAGCGACTCAAGTAGCTGTTGGCCTTCTCTCCTGGTACCATTTTAGTCTCCAGTAGCTGCTGGAGCAGGCGGCTCGACGACACCGAGTCCTTTGGTTGATACACGCCGTTTAGGTGGCGCCAAGCGTTGAGGGCTGGAGCAGGCGAAGTTTCGTATGAGCGAATGCTCAGTTGCTCCGTTGGCGACATATTTCGTTGAAGAACCCCGTACGCCATCAGGGACTCGTTGTGGTACTTAGTTCTTGCGTCGTCAGTGTCCTCCGCAGGTCCCGAGTAGCTCCCGTCGAAGTAGTGAAAAATCTGTGCGTTTTGCAGCAGTAGCTCCAGCTCGAAGCTCCAAGTACAGAAGTCTCTGCCGTCAAAGCACACACTTGTCTTTGTTTTTTATATGCTCAAAAACCTTGATTGCGCAGAGAGAATTGCTTCATCGCCATTTGTGTCGAGAGAGAAGGTGTGCGGGGCGGAGTTCTGGCCATTCGAGGCCGGTTGAGTAGGCTGGGAGGATGTTCCCACGTCGCCATTCCGCAATGTTTGGAGCCTGCCCTTGCTCCAGACTTGTGAGTCGCTGAAGCAGTTGTGCGAGGACGGCGGAAAGGATCGTCGTCGTTTCCTCGCTTGTCGCAGCCGAGTTGGGCTGCGCTTCAGCCGTCATATTCGTCTAACCGCCAGATCCTCCGGCCATTCTCACACGCGATCGTGTGCCAGACGCCACTTTCCGAATATCGCAGATTTCGGAGATGGCAGTGCGAAGGATTCCCGAGTCGCTCTCATACCATGTTGCGATCAAAGAAGTATGATCGAACCCAGGATCACCTTAGGAAGGTTCGCACAGTACTGATTTAGTGGTAGGCCCTTGACCTCAATAGCACAGTGAATGTAAATGCTTGAGATGAGTAAAACATGCAGGTACAAGGAATATAAATAAGAGTACAGGGGAATTCGAATCGACCTAGCTAGCCATGTACTCTAAGGGGTACATTTCCTTATTGCAGCGCAGCGATACGCAACCGTGCGACTCCGGGTGGTTACAGAACTTTTCGGGCAAAATCCTCGCCACTACTGCTGCATGATGCTGTCTGCCCGTCGGTCCAGATGCTATCGTAACCGTGCGACCTTTCGTGTTACTTCCGCCCTTTCGCCTTCAACCTCGGTAGTGCGTGCTTCGCTTGCTGCGGTGAGGAGTGCACAGTGATGTTTCAATAATTACTATTCGTAACAGATTGCGCCATTATTTACTATCTATTTCTATGAATCCTTTTTTCACAAAGTGAAATTGATTGAAGTTACATGAGGAACCTTTTTTGTGCGACGATATTTGCTAGACATGAAAATGTTATGCACACGATTCTGTTTGTGGAAGAGTACACATATGCAAATGTATGCAGTCCAAAGAAAATGCTTTGCATATGGAATATCTTTGAGGTAGCCAAAAACGCAGCTGAACAGTGTCGCGCGAAATCCTGCCATCCGAGCAGTTCGCGCGCGACACACGGCATGCAATGTGGTTGGCGCCAAACCTCCCTCGAAAACCAAGCCACAAACGAAGCCCAAAATTTGGTTCGGTTTCGGAGCAGCACCAGACTCGATTGAAGCCCACCAAAGTTTCTTCACCAAACTTTCGGGGCCCGTCAAATTTGGGATGTCCGTTCACACCAACCGACTCTCGTTAGTTTCTTTTCTCTTCCCCCAGACACAAATGTCTCTCCTTACTAGTGCAGCGCAGGTGTCGCAGCTGTCTCAATACCTCCTCCTCCTCTCCCTCATTTTCCCACTCGCTGCTCTCCCCCTTCCCGACGCCACTGTAACGTCTACCTTTCGCGGGAACCCAAGCCCCTTGTCGTCCTTCCCCCGTTACAAGCATGCTCCCCCCGGCGCTCCTCCCGCCCACTCGCTCCTCCAGCAGCTCCGCGCCGCGCCTCGTGGCGTTCAACGGCCCCGAAATGCGGACCACGTGTCAGCACCCGCGCGCGTGCAGACGGCATCGTCCGTAGCATCAGCGGCGGAGAAACAGAATCCGTCAAAAACACCATCAGCGGAAGCTTCCGCGTCTGCCTCTGCGTCCGCGCGCTCCGCGGAGCCCCCGACCCCGTTTCCGCCTGCGCCGCGGCTGTGGCCGGAGCGGTTCCACGCGGTGCTGTTCCAGAACCGCAGCGGGCGGCTGGCGCTGACGGAGCTGTGGTACGACTGGCCGGGCGGGCGCAACATGAACGCCATCCGCCCGCAGCTGTCGGCGGGCACGCTCATGGACGTGGAGTGGAGCAACGGCACAAGGTGCGGCGGGGGCGTGGTCAAGGGAGGTGGGGAGGGGGTAATGGGGAAGAGTGTGTGCGAAGAAGGGCTGGAAATTGGGTGCGGAGGTGAGGGAGGTGGGGCTTGGGAAGAGGCAGATTGAGCAGGGCGGTGTGAGCGAATGGGGAGAAGGGCTGGGTGGTGGGTGACGGGGAAGGGGTAGAGGGGGGGGGGAGGGGCGGGTGATGCGGGATATGGGTTGGGACGAAGGGAAACGCTGAAGGAATCAGAAATACGTGAGTCGGTGCGTGCACTCTGTAGTTAAAAATTGTACACCGAGTGTGCGGGAATAGCGGCAGAGCGTGCAAGCAAACCTTGCTGCGTTGGAGAGGGAAGAAAGTGGGTGGTGATAAAGATGGCCATTTACAGGTGCTCCAACTGCTTCTGCTCCTGCTGCCCACTGCCACCGCTCCTTGTCCTCTCGCCCTCCCATCTCCCACTCCCTGTGCTGCCTCCTCTCAATCCTTCGCCGTCACTCCCCGTCTCCCCCATGCCTCACCCTGCGCCCGCAGCTTCTACTACAACCTGCAGGAGCGGTCGTGCAAGGTGATTAAGTTCCCCGTGGGCATCCTGCGGCCGGACTGGCTGGTGGGGGCGGTGCTGGTGAGGGAGGGCGAGGTGGTGGACGGCAAGTTCCGCTGCCGCGTGTGGACCAAGGCCGACTTCATTCTCTACTACGAGGACATGGAGGTGCCTTTCTCTCTCTCTCTCTCTCTCTCTCTCTCTCTCTCTCTCTCTCTCTCTCTCGCTCTCTCTCTCTCTCTCTCTCTCTCTCTCTCTCTCTCTCTCTCTCTCTCTCTCTCTCTCTCTCTCTCTCTCTGCTATGTATCGCATTAGTGTTGCAGGGAATGAGAACCTGCTTGCTTTACTTGGTTCACTTTGTCAACGGTTCTGCCATTCGCCAGCCCTAGTTGCGCGCTGCATTCTTTTCCCAGCTGCAACGCTATTCTGCTGCTTTTGCATCTTCACCTCAGTTTCCCTCACTGCATTTTCCGTTTCTGGGTTTGCATACTGGCTGGCAGACTGGTTTTCCAGTGAAGTGGATTTTCCTTGGAAGTGGAGGAATCTTCCATGTGCTCTCCTTTGAACCTGGCGCCACCTTGCTCGATGAACAATGGCAAGCACCAGCAATGTGCTTTCATTAAATCACATCATGTAGGTTGTGCAATGATGTCCATTTTAAACGAGTTCGGATAATGGTACCGTATGAAAATCAGACTCTTTTTTTTTGTGTTCATCTGAATTACATTTTGCTTTTATAATCTGAATCACTAGAAATGCTAAGTATGTTATGTCAAATGTGTCTGTTACGCTCATCAAACATTGTAATGAATACGAATTCATTACTGTAGAGGCTGCTCCTAGCGAGGACAGCCCCGAGCACTTCGCGTCAGTTTCGAGGTTCGGCCTACACTTCGGCACTACCAACCAGGGCTCTCGTTATCAGACCAAATTGGTCTGATGGTCTGATTTTCAGACCTAGATTTTTGCTTTCATCTGATCTCTAAGACGATGCTTTTTATTTCGTCAGATCCGTAAGATGACTGATTTTAGTTCATCTGATGTTTCAGAGCAAGCGCTACACTTAGTCCGAAATTTCAGATAACGAGTTGTTTTTCGTCTGATACCGATCCCCCTCCCCCCAACCCCCCCTTTCCCCCCCGAACTCTCGCTACTCTACCAGCTCAGCCCCCCCTTCTATGCCCTCGCTCCTCTTCCAGGCCTAGTCCTGTCCAAACCTTCTCCCCCTTACCCCAACTGAGGTCTCCAGGTCTCGCTCCCAGCCTAGCCCGCTTTCATGCCCCTCGTAATGTCTCGCAGCCCAGCCCCCCCTTTCCTTCGCGTCCCTCCACCTCCACCCAGCCTGATCCCTCGCGTCGCAGCCCCTCATTGTCACGTGCGTGCCCCTCAACAGCCACACGGCTGTCAGCTAGCGAGCTGTCAGCACCGCGCCAGGGGCGCGTTCATTAACAAAATAAGCGTGATTATGTCAGACAAGTGTGTTAGCTAAATTAGACTGCCCAAATTAAATCGTATGAAGAATCAGACTAAGCTTCAACATTCGTCCAAAAAACCAGACCAAAAAAATATGCATGTCTGAACGTCAGACGGAACGGTTTTTTTACTTAGGTATTTCAGACAGGCCCAAATCCTAGCAAGAGCCCTGCTACCAACCCATCCACGTCCCAAGGCCCTCGCCTAGCACGGTTTCGACCCTATAAATGCGTGCTCCTTTATCATTCTTGATCATTCTGTATTCGACATCCTTTTTATAAAGTCTTCCGCGCACTCTTCTCAGTACAACTCATAACACTTGGTATCAGAGCCTAAGTTCCTAGGTTCCCCGTTTTTTAGAGTGTATTACCCCTCGGGAGGGGGGGACAGGGAAGGATGCCGTGGTGACAGGAGCAGCGCAGTAGCCGGCCAGGAGAACGGGTAGTTGCTCCTAGCGGCCATATATTTCACTGGCGCTCCTGCTGCACCGACGGATCCTTGCCCTCGACGGTCAAGATCGACCGTGGCCTCCCTCCCCCCAGGTGGCGGACAGCTTTTGCTGTCGTCGCATTTCATGCGTAAGTCAGTTGCATGGCGTTTTCGTCAACTTCGGAGTTAACTCTGTGTGGCAGCTGACGTCGAAGGAAACGTCGCCACTGCACGTCCGAGATTGACGGAGACGATCGTCGTGCGAGTTGCGTCGGCACGTGGTCGTCAACTGCGCGCGACAAAATCGGGAGTTAATGTGTGCAGCACGTGGCGTCATGCGTTATCGTCATGTTGCGCGCGAGATTTTTGGAGGTCTTCGGCACGTGGTGATCGTCGTCACTGTGCGCGAAGATTTCGGGTGGCTTCACGTGTAAAACGACAGCTGGCCGGGCAGGCCAGGCGCATTGTGATTTGCGTCGGAAAATACAACGGCGAGGAGAGACGGCGTGACGACTGCCCGAAGAAAGCGGGGGTCTACCGTCGTTCCGCCCGGGTATGGCCGGTGTGGCTGCAAGAGGGTGCGTCGTTGGCGTTTTCGGCAGGTGCGGCACAGTGTGGGACGGAAGTTATTTTCGAACCGCCGAAAAGTTCGGAAACGGCCGCCTACGACTAGACTGTCTACGTTATGGTCACTTCTGCGCCTGCAACAAGGTCGGCCGAAATTTTCGGAGCAACAGCAGCAGCCGACACTGTACTTCAGGCGGCACAGGTTCCCCCTGATCAAGGGAAGTTGCGCCGCAGACAGGGCAGTACACCGACGGGACAACGATTTACGCAGCGTCTAGACCCGCGAATTTCGCCTGGTCTACCGGCTACAATAAACGGAGTTGCGAGAAATACGGGTCTGGCGAGAGAAACGGATTCCGAGCTTCAGGAGGGGAGAAAACGTCCTACTGCGACGACTTTTTGCTGAGGCCGAGTTTCGCGGCTAAGCGGCGGTAGCAGAAGGAGCTGTCAAGATAGCAAGCAGTGATGGTTGCATTGAATCAAATGTGGGTACAAGTACTAACCCTAACCTCGGGTTGTACCCCATATGGGCTACCCCACTATAGCCTACACTGAACTAACACATATATAGTTTGACACACCCCCATAGGCAAAGTAGGGGAGAACAAGGGGTCACAAGACCAGTCAAGAAAAGCAAAGCAAGCTCGGGGTGGATCACAACGTCACCACACACTCGAGCACAAGCAAAGGGGCCACAAGGCCAGTTCACATGCAAAGGTATATATGCAACAACAACAGTATAGTGATCACTACCTAGCAAGAGTAAACATGCAAGTATGCATATATAAATCACAGTACAACTAGAGTCTACAGCAAGTGAGGAAACGTAGGCACCAGGCCTAGAGCAGTGCAGAAGCGCTGATGATCACCAGCCGAAAGGGCCTTGGTGAACACATCAGCAGTGTTGGCCCGGGTGGGAACGTGAGCGACACGAAGCTGACCACGCTGCTGCAACTCTCGAGCAAGGAAGTAACGCAGAGCGATGTGCTTCGTTCTGTGCTCCAGTCTATGGTCCTGACACAAGGCAATGGCAGCCTTGTTGTCGACGTACAGAACTGGAGGCGAACGAGGCCTCTCTCCCAAGTCGGTCAGCAGGTAGGTAAGCCAGCGTAGCTCCTGTGCAGCCATGGCTGTGGCGTAGATCTCAGCCTCACAACTGGAGCTGAGAACTGAAGACGAGCGAGTAGACTGCCAAGAAACAGAGCTAGAGCCAAGGCTGAACGTGTAACCCTGTGACGACCGCTGCGTAGCCAGATCGTCAACCCAAGAAGCGTCTGAGTGCCCAGTGAGGACAACTGAGCTCCGCCCTCCAAGCATTAGCCCCATGCCCGATGTACTGCACAAGTAGCGCAGTACCCTCTTCGCAGCAACCATGTGCACCTTTCGGTGTCAGAATGAGAGAAGTGTTTGCACTAGAAAGTGTTGGGTACAAGTAGGAAACCCTAAACTTATTGTACCCCATAGTAACTACCCCACTACAGCCTAAACAAACTGTAGCAGATATAACATTTGACACACCCCCATAGGCAAAGTGGGGGAGAGCAAGGGGTCACAAGACCAGTCAAGAAAGGCAAAGCAAGCTCAGGGTGGATCACAACGTCACCACACTCACTGAGCACAAGCAAAGGGCCACAAGGCCAGTTCACATGCAGAGGCATATATGTAACACAAACATCACAGTGATCTCCACCTAGCAAAGCAAGCATGCAGGTATATATATATATAGATCACAGTACAAGTAAAGCCTACAGCAAGTGAGGAAAAGTGGGCTCAAGCCCTAGTATAGTGCAAAAACGCTGATGATCACCAGACGGAAGTGCCTTGGTGAATATATCAGCAGTGTTGGCCCGAGTGGCCACGTGAGCAAGACGAAGCTGACCACAGTGCTGCAACTCTCGAGCGAGGAAGTAACGCAGAGCGACGTGCTTCGTTATGTGCTCCAGTCTGTGCTCCTCACACAAGGCAATGGCAGCATTGTTGTCGAAATACAGCACTAGAGGAGAACGAGGCCGCTCTCCCAAGTCGGTCAGCAGGTAGGTGAGCCAGCGTAACTCCTGTGCAGCCATGGCTGTGGCGTACATCTCAGCCTCACAACTGGAGCTGAGAACTGAAGACGAGCGTGTAGAACGCAAAGAAACTGAACCAGAGCCAAGACTGAAGGTGTAACCCTGTGACGACCGCTGAGTAGCCTGGTCGTCAACCCAAGAAGTGTCTGAGTGCCCAGTGAGGACAACTAAGCTCCTCCCTCCAAGCACGAGTCCCATGCCTGATGTACTACACAAGTAGCGGAGTACCCTCTTAGCAGCATCCTAGTGCACCTTTCGGTGCCGACCAGGAGCCACGTAGCGAGCTAGAAGGCCAAGAGGGTACGCGAGGTCAGGACGAGTGCAAGTCATCAGGTACATGAGGCAGCCAACTAGCTCTGGGTAAGGACCACTCGGCTCTACGGACTCGTCCGAAGGTGGAGCTGAGAGCGAGTGACCTGTAGCCAGAGGAGTGGCCTGTGCCGAGGACCAGGTGAAGCCGAAGCGCTGAAGGACCTGCTGCACCATGTGTGACTGAGTCAGTGTGATGGTGCGGCGTGCTCTGTCCCGGGTGATCTGCAAGCCAAGGTAGCTGCGCAACTCACCCAGGTCTGTGCACGTGTGTCTCTTCTGCAGCTCCGACTTCACCAGGGCGAGAGCCTCAGTGTCAGCAGTGGCAAAGACCAAGTCGTCAACGTACACGAGGATGTAGAACGGCGGCAGCGAAGTGTCGGTGCGCAGAAACAGCGACGGGTCAGCAGTAGAAGGCGCGAACCCAAGAGCCGCAAGTGTAGTCCTCAGTGTGTCGTGCCACTCACGTGGCACCTGGCGGAGACCGTAGACTGGCCGCCGGAGGCTCCACTGGGTACCAGGAGGAAACGACCCAGTGAAGCCAGGAGGGCGGCGCAGCCAAATCTCCTCGTGCAGGCTGCCCTGCAAGAAAGCTGTGCTGAAGTCAAGAGAGTGAAGCTCGTAGTCACGCTGAGCGGCAACGTGCAGTAGCACCCGAAGAGTGGTCATCTTCGGGGTGGGGGAGAAGGTCTGGAAGAAGTCTACTCCCTCTCGCTGACTGAAGCCTCGAGCAACGTAACGAGCCTTGAAGACAGGCGGAGAACCTGGCGGCCGCTTCA